TGCCTTTCAGGCACTTGATAAAGGTGTCAAAGCGAAATCAAAATTCACGGTAACCCCGGGAAGTGAACAAATTCGGGCAACTATTGAAAGAGATGGCTTAGCGAAAATTTTCCGGGATTTTGGTGGATTGGTACTTGCAAATGCTTGCGGACCATGCATCGGGCAGTGGGACAGGCAAGATATTAAGAAGGTATTTGATTCATTTTAGTGTGCAGACTATTCGTTTTTCCCATATTTTGTTAACACAGATAAAGTTTGCATTTTTCAGCTTGATAAAAGAGCCTGATAGAAAAGTAGTCAACTTCTTCTTTTATTAGCCCTAACAGCTCCTAAATGCCTCGTGGAACCATTTTGATATCAACGATGAAAACATAGACAGTAATGCCCTGTTTTGGTATTTTTTTTTCAGTAGAAATTGAAATAGTCAGTAAAAGCGAAGGTTTTTGCGAGTTCCAAATCGGAGCAATCCGTTGTTACTGTTTTTTATTGACAGAAATTTTACCCGAAAAAGATAGCAGCGTTGAAAATTACTTCTTTTATTTTCAGGCAAAAATTTAGGCCAGTTCAAGATGCACGAGATGAAATTTAGACAGTAAACCGACTATTGCTTGTAGAATTGAAGCATTGCTTGGATTTTTCTGAACATTTTCGGTCCAGAATTTTTGTGGCAGGCTTACAGCTTATTTCAGTTATTTGGTTTTTTTCCCTTCTTACTCGATTTAAATTTTTTTTGAAAAATCGATTATTCGGTTCTATTTCAGGGTGAAAAAAATACAATTGTCACCTCGTACAATCGTAACTTCACTGGCCGCAATGATGCTAATCCAGCAACACATGCGTTTGTCACATCGCCTGAACTGGTCACAGCTTTGACGATCGCCGGTCGGCTTGATTTCGATCCACGAACAGACCAACTCACTGCTGCCGATGGTACGGATATTTGCTCAGTTCTTCAGTTCCGGGAGGGCCAGCGCTGTTACCCGATTTGTTAAGCTGGAATTAAACCGTTTTGAAAGAACCGGATTTCAGAAATTAAATTTTCGCAAGTTGCGTTAGCTTAATTCACACAGTAAATTTTTTTCAGTATCAGATTCCTTCCTGCTTTATGATACAACCGAGGTGCCAGCATATCGCCCTGAATAAATTAGAAGAACCATTGTCTTTGCAGTTTTTTGGCCTATAAATGTTACATTGAGATTCAAACACCCTTTTTATGCGTTTTGTTCTGTTTGACAGCAGTACAAAACGCATATTCTCACGGGGTTGTCTATGTGTGTATGTGTGTGTGTGTGTGTGTGTGTGTGCATGTGTGTGTGTCCCACATTTTGTCCCGCTCTTTCAACTAGGGAACCACAAAATCTGGACGGCTGAAATTTTTGTACAGTGTTCCCCGCCAACGGGTGACGGGAAAAATTTAAATTCAGCCTTCGTACGGCCCCGTAAAAGTTTTCCGGGTAAAATCAGTATCTCGGAAACTACGGAAGCTAGGAAGCTGGAATTTTTATGGGTATGTCCTCTGACCATGTGCTACCCAGAAAACTCAAATCCAACCTTCCTGTACCCGCAGGTAACACTTACGGCCTCGTAAAAATTTTTGACGGGTAAATTATTATCTTGTGAACAACGGAGTCTAGGAAGCTGAAATTTTAAGGTAATGACCCACTGCCCGCACTCAACTTTGCCCATTCAAATTCAGCGTTTCCGCGCTCTCGGGTATCACCCACGGACTAGTGAAAGTTTTTACGGGTAAATTATTATTTCCGGAACCACGGGGTCTAGGAAGCTGAAATTTTAGGGCGATGACCTCTTGCCCACGCTCAGCCTTGTTTATTCAAATTCAGCGTTCCTGCGCTCTCGGGTATCACCTACGGGCTAGTGAAAGTTTTTGTGGGAAAACTATTAACTCGAGAATCACGA